ACTTCTTTTGTTTACAAAAAGTCGCGAGGGTAACAGTTGCTCCTCCCACCCTCTTCACACCTCCCCCCCCCCACACTCTTCTTCCTATACCTCTCTCTAAGTATGAAGAAAAGGTTCAGAGAAATAATAAAAAGAAAGAACAGAATATGATTGATTAAAATTATAAAAAGAAATAATAAATAGAATTACACAATAAAGCAGATAAAGTAAATAAATAAATTAATAGAAAATATTGGGATAAATAAACCTCAGCTGTGATTTTATCGATTCGTAACTGATACTGTGTCTGTAGCGTTGTGGTGAATGTGGTCTCCCCTGTGCTTTTCAAATGTAGTTTTATTGCATCATAGCATCCGCTTTGCAATTGGATGAAGGGACCGTATAATATTTGTAACGTGCACTCTGATTGGTAAATGGATGTCATCTCATGCAGCAGAATACAGTCTTAACAACAACTGTCTTGGCTACGACAGTTGTAAGTTCGGTTTCAGCATGCGAATTTAAGTTTTCTCTTAGGCCTCACTTAAGATTTTGAACTAAGTGAGTTATCATAGGAAGATTTAAGTCAGACATTAGTGCATCTAGGGCCTGAACAACCTTGGTCCCAAGGTTGCCAGATAAGAGAGGGTCAACGTATACATAGATTTACAAGTACAGGGCACTGTACAGTAATCTCCCTATTATCCGGAAACCTCATTCCCCAAAACTCTCCAATAGCAGGACTTGAAATCGACTCAGAGTTTTTCCAGAAAAATTCTCTCTATTCCAAGTCTGCGAACAAATGTTCCGGGAGTTCTGAGAAATTGCATCCTGCTGCTCTCACGTGGGTGGGAAACCATTTGGGTAACTTAGGCTGTTGGCTCTTGCACTGCAATTGGCTTATACTGTCAAGAGACTTTATGGGATGCCTGTGATAGGCTGATGCATCTACCAGCTTATCCCCTCTAAGCCTAGCATCATCATGCACTTAGTTCATAGTTCTCTGCCATTCTACAAGGTTGATCCCTCGCTCGCTGCTGTTTTTGCGTAAATTTATGTTTTGCAGTCCTACATTACTGCACCAGAACAAAATCAACCAAGAATACTGTAAGCTTAAAGCAGTGTTAAGACATAAAAGTGATTACCTGTACAGTTATGTATACTGCACTGTACATTCAGTAAGTGTGAAAGTACCATATGTACAGGAAAAGGAAACACTAGAGAACTTCTTTTTTTTTTATACGGGAATTAGCCCAAACGGGCACAGGTCACTGACCCACATCAGGCCTGGGGGTTGCGAAAATATAATAAAAATAATAATAAAAGCTATTTTTATTATAATGATTAATAAAAATTAATAAAATAATAAAAATACAAATAAAATAATATTATTAATAATACAGTGGTCCCTCGGTTAACGAGCACAATTCGTTCCAGAAGGTTGCTCGTTAACCGAAAAATTTTTTAACCGAAACCATTGTTTCAATGGGTTTTTGGGTAATTGGTTCCAGCTCACCGAAAATTACATACAAACGAAAAATAAATGCAGTAAAGTACCCTTACTTTGAGGTGTGCATGTAGAAGGCTCCTGGTTGTTGATGATGATGATAATGATGATGGGAATAAAAATGGGGGTGGACAAGAAGTGAGAAGTGACGGCATTGGGGTGGAAGAGAAGTCACCCCCATGCTGCCATTTCACCCATAAAATTTTAGTTCACTTGGTGTAATTCAAGATTATTTTCTTTAAATCAACACTGCACTGCACTATATATTATCAATAAGTAAAATATATTTCAAAATGACCAATAATTTGACTGGAAACACAGAAAAAATAGCATTTATGTTGAAGAGTCTCAAACAAGATGTCCCTTCCTCTGAACCTGTAAACAAACTGACGCCAAGCTTGGTGTGTTGAGTGGCTGTTTGGCGCGCATAAAACTAGTTTCCTGTACTTCAATTATGTTCAATAATTGTTAAAATGACTACAAAATTTAATAACAAACTTTTAAAATGATTGAATAGTACAACCTTCTTGATATTTACTAAAATGGTAAGGAATTTAAGCCCTAGAACCGATTACTATATTGGCGGACTAATACGGCAGCTAGTGAGCAAGCGAAAACATGTTGAGGGGCGTTCGTTAGGAATTTGTTAATCGAGGGATTGCTCGTTAACCGAAGTGAAGAATCTTATGAAAGGTAATTCGTTAACCGAAGTGAAGAATCTTATGGAAGGTAATTCGTTAACCGAGGCGCTCGTTAACCGAGGGATTACTGTAACCATAAATAAATACAAAAACCAAAAAAATCAATAGTGAGAAACGATATACATTATGAATGTTGTGTTGTCAAAGTTAGAGAAACAATTGAGACCCTGCAATTGTGTGTAAATGAGGCCGAAAGTCAGACCAGCAACCTGGGATTTGGTCACAATTTTTTTTATGCCATATGGCATGAGACCCACTAATCCCCCACCTTGACAATGGGTGACCTGACATTGCATCAGAAGGTTCAGTAACTTGAGACCACTAATCCCCTTCCTCAATGCAAGTGTTCAGCTGTATTACGACATAAAAAGTGATTACAGTTACATATTACATTCAGCATAGTGGACAGTGTATGCCTACTGTAGGCTGAAGACTACAGCATCTACTGGTGAGTACAGTATATACAGTACAGTAATAGTTCACTGTTCATTATTTTGTTTATTTACTATATATTGTACAAGTACAGAGTTGTTTGCATAAATAAATACAGCTCCATGCAAAATGTGTAATTTAGTCAATGGGAAAGCTTTCTCCGGTGCAGAGTGGAAAACTCCTCTGTCTTGGCTGTGACACACAGCTCCAATCATGCCTCATTTGCCCATATCATAGATTTTTTTTATTTTGTATATATAAATTTAACCAAATTTTTAGATTTTTTTTGTGATTATTAGGGTAAAAAATTGGTGTTTCTAACCAAATTAGATCAGATTTATTGACTCCGGTATCAATTCAATATTTCTAAATTTTTTATATATAAAGGAATGGAGTTCCATCATTATATTGTGCCAAAATATTTTGTTTAAGGATCTTTTATTAGAAAAGTCTTGTAGAGTAGTATTTATTCAAGATCATTGTGGTACCAAATTCATCACTAACACAATTAGAACAGATGCCGTGAACAAAATTTTAATTTTTTTCGTTAGTCATGAATATTTTTACTTATGCTTGCAGTCGTAATGTCATGGGAGTGTCCATGCAAGATGAGATGTAAAGTTTAGAGTCAAGATGAGATGCTTAGTTTAGACTTTCTAGACTCTTGAAAAACTTTCCCCAACACCTGGAAACATGCCAGGGATGTGTTTTAGTCTCTATCCACACAATACAGTACAAGCAGTTTTGACTCTCGGAAACTTTTCCCGTACTGTACCTGTGAAAATTCCAGGGATATGGGATTTTTTCCATGTTTGAGAGAATTGTTTTGTTAACTGGAAATCTCTCAACCGCAGAAGCGCTTTGCACCAATTCTTAACCTTCTTGCGCGCTGTAATCCAGGAGTTGAGGCAGCCTGCACAGCGTTATGGAAATTTAAATGGACGTGGCTCACTCACAGTCTGACTGCTGAGATAATACTGCTCATTTATCATTCTGGTCTTCCCTTCCTATGGGCCTCGAGAGTTGCCAATTAGTTTATTTGATAGAATTTACTTGCTACTATGACGCTTCAAAAATTTATGTAATTCTGTTAAAAACTTAATTTTTGGCGAATTTATTAAAGTTTGATGATTAGATTTGCATCACCGTGAAATTGGTTTTATCATGAATATGAGGCAAATTGCGTCATCATACATGAGAGAGTTAATGAGAAACAAGTAAAATAAATATTTTATCATTATGCCACTTCATAAATCCAATACTTTACAGTACAGTACAGTACTGTACTTACAGATAAATACTGTACTGTACCGTTATAAAAATTGTTTTTTTTTTTCATGCTAAATTATTATACACTAGGACTGTCAAGGAATGAACTCGGTACACACACACACACACAAATAAAAAAGGAACATTGATTACTGGTGATTTGGTGTAAATTTGAAATTAAACCTCTGGAAGTGGCCATGAAAAAAAATAGTCCACTGCTCACAAGGACAAGTAGTTCAACTACAGCTTTAGATGTAAGATTATTGTTATCATTATTACCTCTCTATTTCCATTTGTATTCCTCTGTCATCATCAGTGGAAGACATTTAGTGTTTACCTCTTTTGTTCATACCTCCAATTAAAGTTGTCCACTAATTTGCTGGCTTGTATTCTACAAACAAATTTCTGGTTGTCAGAAGCCTTTGTGGTATATTTAATATTGTAAGACAGAGAAGAGGAATATTGTTAGTTTAGAAATGATGTAAAAGGTACAGTAGTTTCATTGGTCAGTAAGTACAACTATCATCACAAGAAGGCTTGTCATTGGTTTGTGCCTCCATTTATGATTAGAGACTACAGGATATTGAATATGTTTTATGCTTTGTATAAATCCTTTAACATCAGAAATAAAAGTAAGTACTGTAGTGATAACAGAATTCAAGGAAATTTTTTACCTTGTAATTTTCACGTAAGGATAGGGATCACCTTAGCTGTCAGTCATCTCAGTTTTGTTTGATATTAGGCCAAAAGAGTTAATACCTTAATCCATTAAGATTTCCTATATTAAGGGTGTGGATTTTGCACCCCCCCCACCCCCACCACACACATAAAGCCACTGGCTGCAACTCTATTAATATACCGTTTATTATTATTACACACACACACACATAGTTTGCTCATACATTACTCTTTGTTTGTATTAATAATTGTTCTGTGAAGTTGAGGTTGTATAGATACGTTTGCTTTTATTTAGTTTTACTTTAGGCCAAGTAAAGTTGGAGTAGTTATATAACAAACAATTACTCTATATATAACAATAGTTAATACATAAGGAATTTATTAATAATCTTCTAATTTTGAATACTTGTTTATTTGTGTGTTTCCTATTACAGGTATCAGTCCCTGAATCTGACGCATGTACCGGAACACAGCGTCCAGATTTATGAATTCAGATAAAGGGGCTCAAATGGGCGTTGCTACTCTCAAGGCTTAGTGCATATGTGATTTATATTTTATTTGTTCCTCTTTAAAAAAAATATGTTTTATTGGAATGTTTGTGACTCTTTTATTAGATAGAGCTTAATAACTCTAGTAATCCAGTGGCTGAGCATGGACCTGTGTGACTTTATATGTCCCTTAAATTATTCTTTATTTTTAGTTAGTGTACCATTTAAGGTAAGAGAAAAGTTAGGGTGACATTCCTCAAACTGTTAAGTTACTGAGATATAGACTTTTAAGACTTCCATATGATGCGACTAGAGAAAATGTTTATTTCTTCAGTGGAAGAACATATTTCGTTCCTTAATGTAAATTTTTTTTTTATAATTGCCTTCTTTTATATCATATGCAGTATTATAGCTGAGTACAGTACAAATTAAAATGTTTCATATGGTGAAATTTAAGAATATATGGAAAGGCAGAATAATATGTCCAACAAAGGTTTCATTTTCTCCCGTAAATAACATTTATGGGATTATGGCGGTTAATACAAAATACTGTAGTTACAGTGTCATATTGTTTATCAAAATTCTTATGATTTATATGACTATTTTTCGAGCAGGTTCTGTGTACTCATACATAAGCAAAACTCCAAAAACCTCACCCATTTCCTGCTTTGAAAATGTGTGAAGTTACGGTGTCCAGAATACCGTTGCAATGTATTGTTTGTTCTCTGAACATATAACTAACTGCAATTATTTTGAGGTAAATAATATCTCAATGTGCCACGTATTCCTTTCCTCTTGTCTCCAATGATGCAGGGTGATTATTTATTTGAGAACCTGAAATAATTCCTGTACACTAAAAACTATATCAGTTTCTGAACCTAATATGTTGCGTAGCTGTAGCCTAATGTAACAGAAAGACGTGACATAATCCTGAGAGTTATCAGGTATGACATGATTTGTTACTTGATCCATCAGTGGGGTTTAATGGTTTTCACTCAGTTGTGCCATGGCACTCACTGTGTTTGTTGTGTTGTGAGTGCCATGACATGACATGACAGAGTGAAAACCGTTAAACGCCATTGACGGACAACACAAATACTATCCCCAAACACAGCCCATAAACATAACACAGTAAATACAAATACAGTGAGTGCCATGGCGTGACTGAGTAAAAACCGTTAAGCCCTGCTGGCAGGTCACGTGATAAATCATGTCATACCTGAGAACTCTCAGGATCATGTTACATCTTTCTATAGCATTAGGCTACATTTACGCAACATATTAGGTTCCTAACTGATGTAGTTTTTAGGGTACAGTATAGAAATTATTTTGGGTTCTCAAATAAAGAAATCACCCTGTACCTACACCGTTTTTTGAAGCTCAATTAATAGTTGGCACCTGGTACTGCTGAGAACAATGTAGAACTACGCTTAACAACAAATTTACCACACCTGAATTGCTTAAATACTTGTGGAGCAGTTTCTGGTAGCCTGTGCATGTCTTCAAGGTACAGAGAAGCCTATCTTAAGTAATTGGTCCTGTCAAATGTGTCAAACAAAGACAAGGCAGACTGTACACTCTACAGATGGAGATCCCAATTTTGCTGTCAGCTCTCATTAGATTTATAGCAACAAATACTATTGAATGAAGGTTTCCCAGCAAGAGATTGTCTCAGATTCCAATATGTGCTTTGTTCTGAATTCCTCAAAATCAACAAAGAGCTGGCTGGAACATTGATCAAAAGCTACCAGACTTTCTTTAGCTTTTGTTCTTTCTGAAATGTTAAGCTTCAGATTCTGTAGATGCTGGATAGGTTCTTCATAACTGTTTGTTCCACACTCTTCAAAAAATCGGCACCACTGTCTTATAAGTATATAGCCTTATACATCCTAGTACTGTACGTACTATCTTAATCATGTGAAAAGATCCTAAACTGAGAATGATGTCTTTAAACTCATCTGGATGCCATAGCATTATCTCTCTGGCAATGTGGTACACTCCCTCATCACAGAATGCTGGCAATTTATCCTGAGTTAACTGATCAAGTCCATTTTGAAAATTTTTCGAAGCAGTGTAGACAGTTTTATAATATGTAAAGGGATGTGGCAGTATGGGAAGAAGTCCTACAAAATTCTCAGGAACTGACTCATCAGTAACTTGATCATTGAAAGCACTCCATGATAGTGTACTTTTCTGATTCACTATATCTGATAAAGACTTTGTCTGCATCAGACAGATCTAACGTAGACATACACCAAGCCATGTCTTTGTGTCTAATATCTGTATAGGCCTGCTTATCCATTGTAAATAAATCTTCTTGGACATTGTAAGTTTATGGAATATCTGCTATTTTAGCAAGTTTGATAAACTATTTAAGTGTTGCCCTGACTTTAATTTTACCTAAAGTGGTACACTAACTGAAAATAAAGAATAATTTAGGTGACATATAAAGTCACACAGGACCATGCTCAGCCACTGGACTATTGTATGTATCAGTCAGCCGTGCTGTATCATGCATTGAAGAAAAGCAGCTCATACATTTGTTTCAAGTTACTTGAAAGTTCCCTCTTGTTCATTTGACTTTGTTGATGTTACATTATTTTTGTATACAGTACAGTACTTCACGAAAATAATGGATTGCTTCCCCGGGCAATCTTTGAAATGTGATCGGCCCATTTTAATGTAACTAATAGATTTAGTTATGCGATTTCGCTTTCTCATTAACTTACTGTTAAGTGTTTAGGGACTTGTTTCTGAAATGAATGTAAAAAAAAAATGTTTTTCTTCATAAAAGAACAGCATTTCTTTAGTACTGTTTATGCCATTATAAATATATAAATAAATATATATATATATATTTTTCATTACTTCACTTATAAGATGGGTTAGAGAAAGACCAATTCCTTGTCATATGGTTATGAGGTGAACTGTTAAGAAGAATCATTGATACAGGAAATATTAGATAAAATTAGTTTTTTTTTTTCAATTGACCATAACAGTGGTTCTTGTTGCATCAAGGAAAACCATTTTTAAATATCTCAATTTAGTGACAAGTGAGTATGATCTTATGATATTTTAGTGTTTGTAATTTTATTTAATGACTAGTCTTTTCCACTTTATGAATAAAATTCAATTGAAATTTGTTGGAGTTGGTGTTCAGAGGCAATAAACTTTATATTAGCTCCCAAATTTAATCGTGATAAACAAAGCTATCATCAAGAGCTTCAGTAGGAACCCTTGGTTATTCTCAGTGTTGTGTCAGGGACCTAGAGTTGGGATATTATTAGGGAAAAGCATTAGGATAATATTGAGTCATGAACCCACACAAGTTCTACTCTGCAAGAGATGTGAATTGTTATAAAGTGCAGCTGTTATCTTCAGATTTGACTGTTGTCTTTTATTAGAGTACAGTACGTATAATACAATGCTTTTAAATGACATGTTTTATCAGTACACTTACGTATGGATATTTATTCTAAATGGAATAACCATTTCTCTCATTACAGTGAGTTAAGTATTTTGTGAAAGGTTTTTAAATTGATGATCTTTTTCTGTATTCTGTGTCCAAATATAAATATTTTATTATTTTATTAAGCAGATAGCATGGTGAAAATTCTCTCTTCTTTGTTTTTACTCTCTAAGAATGATCACTAGAACTTATTTCATTTTTATTTGCTTCAGAGTGCAGTATATAAGTTAGATGATTATTTTTTGTTTGTCCGGAATGTAAAAAAAAAAAGAAGAAATTAACAAAAGATCTGGAACTTGCACTCAACATATTGCTCCCAGAGTTCTGGAAGTGAGATACCAAGGGATTGAGAGTTATAGGTTGTGTTTATACTGAATCATGTTTTAATGAAGGCTAATCTAGTTTGCTCTACTTTGTCAAAATTAATAATTGTGTATAACCTTATGTCACCAGAGTTTGTTGTATAAGCGCATGTTGGTATTATTTTTATTAACAAAATAAGTTAGGGATCAGTTGCTTAGTTATTAGTGATTCTTTGCCATGTAATGTTTGTGGTATTAAGTACTGTAGTTGATATATATGTAGTATCTGCTACATAAACAGCCAACCAAAGTATTGTACAGTAAATTTATTACTATAAATGATAACCGGTGGTTCTCTTTGGTGTTATCAAGGGTATGCCTGCATATGTGAATTAATTTGTGTGTGTGTAATAATAATAATAATAATAATAATTAACTGTTTATTAAGATAACATGGCAGCCAGAAGGCTGAAAATATACAATGAACAGAGGTGATAAGTTACATATGGTGAAATCAGGGAATGTGTTACTTGATTAACAAAAGCTTTCAATACAAAAATCTATGAAACATAGGGTCAACATATAGATTAACTAGATCTGGTACTGTGGGAGCTGGTCTTGTGACCTGATATTGGCGCCAACAAAGTCCTTCCCACTGTTTGGATGGCCGTCATACCAAGGTGCTAGCTGCTCCCTCACTACAGCTGCAGATGTTTAGCACATCCACCACGTGGTCTGGACAGGTTCTTCAGCTCACACAGGGTGTTGGAGATGGTTCTTGTTCCTCGTGTGATGTAGTTAGGAATTCATAGTTCCTCACCTGGGTGGAGTAGGGAGACCTCATTTCTCTCCTGATGTAGTTTGGAGTCTTTCGTGGCTTCTCATCCAGTGTTGGTGGTGGCGAGTGTATGGCGGACCCTGGGTGTGTCAGGACCACGTCAGGTCAACATTGACCGCTAAGTACTTGATAGTCACTCTAACAGTTGTTTCTTTCTTTCTAGTTGAAATTGTCACTTTTTTTTATATCACTTGTGGGTTGATCGTCAATCTTTGCACTGTACTGTTGGTGGGAGGATGTTGATAAATCCAGATGGGGAGGAGGAGATGGTGAAGGGGAAGACCCAACAGACCAGACTGGCAGCTGTCTCCATGACCTAAAGACCATGCCGCCTCAGCGGGCAGCGCCGACTACAGACATCCTCACCCCATGAAGGCTGAAGACTGTGTGTGTGTGCGTGCATGCTTGTGGACCTCTTATTGAATATCCAGTTTTATTACTATTGCATCACTGGTATAGAAATTATTCTGTGCATTATATTTGTATAATATTTTCAATAGAAGGAAAAGGATAACTTTAATGAAATTCTCTCTACTTGTAGAGTTTTATTATTATTATTATTATTATTATTATTATTATTATTACAGTAAACCCTCGCCAACTCGGACTAATTGGGGGGAAAAGACAGCCCAAGTAGACCAGAGTCTAACCTAGGTTAGAGATGAGGGCAATTAAGTTTAAGAGGGGAGAGTGACTCCAAGTCTGGCTTAGATCCAAGAATCAAAGGACAATAGTCTGAGATGGAAGGGAAATTCCACATCAAGTATCTTGACAGATTTCAATATAAAGAACAACATATAGATACAATCTAACTGGCCAATATTTATAGAAAATTGTTAAGAATATTCACCAGCTGGTAACATGGAACACAGTGGCCATTTCAGGTCTTCTGACTCATTACTTTCAAGACATTGTGGATGGATGATAATACATTGTGTACAGTAAACATAATTTGCAAAAATGTGTATTGAAATGATGGAATCAGTGTTGAAGTGAGAAAATTTGTTAATTAGTCTATTGAACCGGTTAGTTAATTCCCAGTTAACCAGGTTGGTTCGCATATATTATATTGGGCTTTAGTAACGAAACCCAATTGAAGTTTCTTGTTTTATTAGAAAAGTATTATGTATATATAATTCCTGAGTGTAAATCAACCGTAAGTTCCACTATTTATGAGTGTGATGAGAAAGGGACGGCTTTTATGTATATAAACGTGAATCGACGTCCGTTCGATATTAGTTGGTGTGAGTGACTGACTAAAGGCGTCGCCTTGGTGCGCGCTTACATAGATGCTAACATATGGGCTTCTCCCTCTTGGGAAAGCTACCGTTCACGTGTTCAGTTCATGTCCTCATAGGTAGTGGAAAATTACTGGGGGTGAATCTGAATATAAATCAGGTGTAAATAACCCATTTATATAATACTTCTGTTGATGAGACGGGGGCCATTACACTATTCCTCACTGGTCGGCACCTAGGGTACTTGCAGCATATCCTCATCGCCTTAAATGTAAAAAAATTAAATAAATCTTTAATGTTTCATTTCTTAGTGATGCATTAAATATTTTTAATACTGTATGTTTCATTAAATAAATTTTAAAGGTTTAGTAAATATCAAATGAAGACGATTCATACGCTGAAGAAAACGTATAGTTTCCATGCCGTCAATAAATGTCAACACAAGTGGTCGTGTTGTCTGCTGGTCACGTGAATACTGCTGCTGTATCAATTGTTGTTATTCTCAAGATATTGTGGATGGACGACATTGTATTGTGTAGAGTAAACTTATTACTGATTATGAATTATAATGTAAATAAGAGAAATAATTATTTAAACGTATAGAAATAATGAATTATGAAAAAGATAAGATAATAATAGAACTAACTTTAAAGTTATAATGTATTGTAATGTAAATAAGAGAAACAAATAATTAAACATATAGAAAAAATGATTTATTTATTAAAAAATGTAAGGTAATCAATAAATGAAGCTAAACTTACAGTAATGATGATATGCAATTGCAATAAGCCCAATGATGATATGACTTACTTGACCTTAACTCCATAACAACAGATCCATTACACATCACATCAGATCCACTGTACATCCACTTCACAGCCACATCATATCCACTTCATCTCCATATCACATCCACTACACATCTACATCATATCCACTACACATCCACTTCATTTCCAATACACTCCCACGTAATCATTATTATACATCCACATCATTTACACTTTGGAAGACCATCTATGCCACGTACGTAAGTCAGGATTTGGGAAGTTTCTAGAACCTTTGGAGAGACTTGTGGCTGTCAGAGTTTGCCCGTCCATTTTGAATAGTGTCCAAGATGAATGGAAACATGTCCGAAGCCAACCCTCTGTCCGAGAATCGCAGGGGTCCAAGTTGGCAAGGGTTTACTGTATTACATTTCTATTTCATGAGCAGCTAGTTGTATTGGTTATAGTTAAAATTTTATTTTGAATGTAAAAGTAAGTAAGATATCTGAAACATTATTATCTTTTTTAATATATAACTCCAGTACTATTACTGTAAATTTTAGGTGTTACAATTTCATATTCAGAGCTATTCTGTACTGTAGAAACAATTTGGCCAGATTATATTTTTATAAGGCTTCGCATATGTTATGAACACACATCTGACATACTGTATTACATTATTTGTATTCATGTACAGGTGCTCCCCGACTTACGACGTAAGTCCGACATAGATAAAAAAAAAATTCAAAATTTAAAAAAATAAAAATTAAATTAATACAGTAAAGAATTAAAAAACAAAAAGTAAAAAAATAAATAAAAAATCTACAATGAAATACAGTACAGTAAAAGTAATAAATAATGAGGAATGGATACAGTGTGACTGAGCACTTACCTTTAATGTAGTCAGCTGAATGCACACAGGGCCCCCATAATTTTCTAATTATACACGGAGACTACATTAACTGGAAGAAGCAGAGGAGGAGACAGGGCTGGGTGGGTCATCAATGTCGCTTTCTTCAGACAGGTTTATGGACTGGAAACTTGCTGGTTGAAGGTATTGGATCATCTTGAGGGAGTGAAGAGGGCGTGAGGAGACAACACTGGGGGGACTTCTTAAAATAGATGTCCAATTTAGACTGCACAGTTTGTTTTTTCTTTTCATTATAAATTTCTCTGTAGCAAGCAAGTGCATCTTGGATCATTCTGTCAACTTTGACATAACGCTCATAATTTTGATTCATGCCATCAAACATTTGCATTCCTTTATTAATTGTAGCAAATGCCTCTGCCATTTGTTTCACTGAAACTTTTTGGGGGGTGCAGGTTCTTCTACATTTTGTCTCTCTTGTTGTTCTGCAATTTTCTGTGCATCTAGTTCAATAAGATCCTCGTTACTGAGCTCTTCTGCTACACTTTCAACCAACTGTCCAACATCTTCATTATCACTTTCTAACTCCAGCTGTTTACCTAACTCCACTATCTTGTTACTAATATCCGAAATAACTTCATTTTCATTAAATCCTTTGAAACTGTTCACATATCTTTTCATGATTTTCTTCCATATTCCATTCATGCAATGTTTTGTAACCTGCTCCCATGCTGCACTAATGTTCTTTATACATGACAAAACGTTGTACTCCTTCCAAAACTCTCTGAGCGTTTTCTCACCTTCAGTAGCAGCAACAGCCTGAGCGAAGGTCGTGCGTAAGTAATACGCTTTAAAGGCAGCAATAGCACCTTGATCCATGGGTTGGATGATAGAGGTAGTGTTAGGTGGAATGTAGATTACCTTAACATCAGGGTGCATGTCGTCCAGGTGTGGTGGGTGTCCCGGAGCATTATCCAAAATCAGCAAAATCTTGAATGGAATCCGTTGTTGCAGACAATACTCCTTGGCTCGTGGAATGAACCAATCCTCAAACAGTGCTAAGGTCATCCAGGCTTTCTTATTACTGCGATAAAACACTGGCAGTGTGTGCTTGCTGACATGTTTAAAAGCCCTGGGGTTCTCTGAATGATAGATCATGAAGGGCTTTAGCTTGAAACCAGCAACATTCCCCCCCAACAGAAGTGTAATTCTGTCCTTGAATGCCTTGAATCCTGGCATTGTTTTCGCCTCTTTGTGGATGTATGTCCGCTCAGGCATGCGCTTCCACAATAATCCAGTCTCATCCACATTGAATATTTGCTCAGGCAAATAATTCCCTTCCACAATCACTTCATCTAACTCCTCCTTAAAAGCTTCGGCAGCACCAACATCGGCACTAGCTGCCTCTCCACTCACCTTAACATTGTGTAGACTGTAGCGTTTTTTAAATCTATCAAACCACCCATGACTTCCTGTAAAGGTTTGATCACATTCATCTCCTGCCTGCTCCTTCAGGCTTTGGAACAGGCTTCTTGCTTTAGCCTGTATGGTTAGAAGGCTTAAGGGTACACGCTTCTGTATCTGGTCTTCTATCCATATCACCAATAATTTTTCCATATCGTGAATAGGACCTTGTCTTTTCTTTGATATTATAGTTCCCTTTATAGGTGTTGTTCCTTTCACTACATCACGAATACGTTCCTTGTCCTTCAGAATAGTGGA